GTTTCATTTGCCACTCTTTTTCTAGGTTCCTGAGCTGGGAGTTTAGATGGTTTATTAGAGATCTTTCCTCTTTTCTAATACATGTGTTTAGTGCTATAAATTTACCTCTCTCTCTCTCTCTCTCTCTCTCTCTCTCTCTCTCTCTTATTCTTGTTCAAGTACAGTTGTCTCCATTTTTCTCTCACCACTGCCCCCCATCCCATTACATTTTTGGCTGTATCACACCTATTTTGAGATGCTATATTTTCATTTTTATTCAGGTCAATGTATTTTGTTGAAATTTCTCTTGAGATTTCCTACTTGACCCACAGATTTAGAAGTGTGTTGTTTAGTTTCTACGTGTTTAGAGATTTTCCTACTTTATCTGATATTAATATGTAACTCTTACTTTCTTCTGATTAATGTTGTAAGGTATATTTTTCTAAACTTTTACTTTCAACTTACCAGTATATTTTTTATTTGGAATTTGTTTTGGTAGACAGTATATAGTTTGGTCATATCTTTAAATCTCTGCCATTCTCTATCTTTTAAATGTTGTATTTAAATTCATTTAATGCAATTATTGATGTGTTAAGACTTAAGTCTTTCCTTTTGTTTTGTATTTGGCCTGTTTTTTCCACCACATGAGAACAGAGAGGGAAGACAGCTATCTGTGAACTAGGCAGTGAATTCTAATCAGATGCAGAATCTACCAGCACCTTGATCTTGAACTTCACAACCTCTAGAACTGTGAGAAATGTGTTGTTTAAGCCACCCACTCTGCTATTTTTGTTACAGCAGCCAAAATAGAATGACTATATCATCTCTCAGTATATGTAGTCACATACCTAGTCATTAATCTATGTTTTATATATATAATATACACATATAAATATCCCTTTTCCCTCCCTCATTTATAATAAAATTGTCTTAGATATTTTCTCTACATCCGCTTAAAACATATTAGACAGTTATAATTTTTGCTACACTCTCAAACCCAATTAGAAATTTTAAGAGGAAAAATGGATTTTATTTACCTATACTTTTACTCTTTCATTGTTCCTTCTTCCTTTCTAATGTTCCTAGAATATTTCTATTATAATTTTATTTTTGTTTAGCAAATAACCTTCACCCATTCTTTTAGTACAAGCCTGCTAGTGGCAAATGCTTAGTTTTCCTTCATCTAAGAACGTCTTCATTTCCTTTCATTTTCACTGGATACAGAACTGTGCATTTAGCTTTCTTTTCCTTTAGGACATGAAAAATGCTTTTATTGTTTCCTGCTGGCCTGTGGCTTCTGATGAGAAATACAGTGTCATTGAATTGTTTCACCGATAGAAGTAATATATTATTTGTCATTGCTTTCAAGATTTTTCTTTGTTTTCAGAAGTTTGACTATGATGTGTATTGGTATAGTTTTTGGGGGGAGTGAGGCTGTCTGTATCCACTGAGCTTTTCTGTAGGTTTATTTCTTTGGTCAAATCTGGAGAATTTTGTTCTTTCACTACATTTTCAGCCCCACTCAGTTTCAATTCTCCTGGGATTCTGAGGATACAAATATTAGATCTTCTGTTACTGTTCCAAAGCCCCCCAAAGTTCTTTTCATTATTTTACACAGTTCATTTTCTCTCTGTTCTTCAGAATGGGCAATTTCTATGTTCTACCTTGAAGTTTACTGATTCTTTCTGCTCTCCCCTCCATTCTGTCGTTGACTCTATCTACTGAGGTTTTTATTTTGGTTATTTAATTTTTCCATTGTAAAGTTTCCAATTTTTGTAATTTCTGTTGTTTTCCTGAGACTTAATTTTTGTTGAAACTTATTTTTCCATTTGTTTCAAGCATGTTTGTAACTGCTCATTAAAGACCTTACACGATGGCTGCTTTGAAATTTGCCACATCATGCTGACATCTGCCATTGGGTGTTGGCTTCTACTGGTTATATCTTTATTCACTCAATTTGAGATTTTTCAGACTTTTGGTACAAGGGAATTTTTATTAAAACCTGGACACTTGGGACACTAGAGTGCTATGTATAGCATTCTAGAGCACATTTAAACCTTCTGTTTTAGCAGGCTTTCCTGACACTGCTCAAGCAGGGAAAGAGATAGGGCCACCTATTACTTCTGAGTGAGGTTAAAGTCCAGCGGCCCCATTTGGCCTTCACTGATGTCCAAAGGGAAGAGGAACTCCTTGTTATTACTGCTAGTTGGAGATGGGAGTTCTAGCTCCCCTCTGGGTCTCTGCTGATCCCAGCATGACTAGGAGAGTAGTAGTGCCTTACTACTGCTCCCAACTTGGTTCCACTGACTCTGTGGGATGGGGGCTTCTTTTTTAAATTATTTTTATTTATTTTATTTTTTAGAGAGGGAAGAGAGGGAGAAAGAGGGAGAGAGAGAAACATCAATGTGCGGTTGCTAGGGGTTATGGCCTGCAACCCAGGCATGTACCCTGACTAGGAATCGAACCTGTGACACTTTGGTTCGCAGCCTGTGCTCAATCCACTAAGCTATGCCAGCCAGGGCAGATGGGGGCTTCTTACCACTGGATGGTGGCAAAAGTACTGTCTCTCCACCAGACCTCCTATGAAAACATCCTGATAGGGAAGAGGAGGCTGCCTCATTACTTCTAGGTCAGGGTGAGGGTCCATGCTTTCCCCCACATGGCCTCCACTGAGTCCACACAGGAAGAGGGGGGATATCTATTATTGTCTGGCTACAAGTAATGTTGCAGCTCTCTCTGTGCTGTTTTTGACACCACCGTGGCAGAGAAGTTTGGGCTCCTAGTTTCAGCCTGTGGAGGGTAGGGGACTAGGGTCTCCACCTGACATTTGTTGGCAGGGGCAGGGCCACAGGTTTTTCTGTGTTGTTGGCTAGACTACAGTAGTTATTGAAGAAAAGCTTTCTGTCTTGTAGGATGACCCTTTCCTGGTGCTTTAGCTAGAGAGAGCAGACTTTTAGTGGGGCGCTTTTTTTCCTGGTCTCCACTTGGTATTTCTGGGTTACTGGTTTCTTCAGGTCCAAGTTTGGGATATATGAGGTAAAAACTTCCTTTGTTCCCAAGCTTCCCAGCTAGTCTGCCTTTTCTTCCATTCAAAGTCTTTTTACATTTGTTTTCTGTATTATGTCCAGGGTTTGTTTGCCCATGCTTCCTTTTCAGTATTCCTTCAAATTCCAGCATTTCTTAGATTACTCATAAACTATAAATACTCACATTCATACATAAAACCAGGCACATCTGATTCTACAGAAATTTAACTTTGCTATTCAAGGTAAAATATTCTAAGATGAAGCTCTTCAGAATGAAGGACACCTGATAACTCATTAATCAGGATATATAATTTAGGCTAAAATATAAATGGAATATATCTAATAACTTAACATTTACAGAATTTGATAGCTTCTGACAAAATCCCATTGTTGTCAAAAGCCATACATTTGCATAACTTTTCTATTAAATATTAGGTAAATGTCTAATATTGTAGGAAACATTACCATCAGTTAAAAGCTAAATCAGGTTATGAAAAGTAAGCACATTGCTGCAGTCTCCTAAAAGTTAGCCAGTCCTGGATCTTCACTAAATATCTTCACCTAGCATCAAAACAACCAATTCACTTTTTTCAAATTTATGAAGTCAATTGTTAGGAAAAATTATTGGTACATTATTTTCCAAGGATATGAGGAATTCCTGTTGTATTTCCCTTTGTTCCACACAATTTTTCCTACTAGTAGATGTAATTTCAAAAGCAATTTATTACAAAAGCTAAGCACAAAATCCTAAGCCTACAGTTGAAATCAGTTTTATAACAATATTTAAAATCCTCTGTAATAACGAAAGGATGATGATGAAAATGGTAACTGTGACAATAATGCTCACTAATTAGTTCTAGCCCAAGTACTTTACAGCCAGTATCTCATCGAATTCTCACGATGATCTGACAAGGAAGGCATGATTCATAATCTTTACACCTTTTATAGATATGGCAAATTGAAATACAAAGAGGTAGACTCAAGTTTCCAAGGTTACACAACTAGTAAGTAAGGGAAACAACATGACTTTGTAGGTATGCTCTTAACCACTGTATCTCTGGCTTCAAGGAAAGGACTACATCTTCTTCCACCCCTGTCTTTAATAAGCATTTGTCGTTAACATGAAGGCAGAAATCTGGACTGCCCCTCCTCCTGGATGGAAGATAACACAAGAGCTCTAGTTCACTTATCTCAAATTGCCTAGGCTGGTTCTAAAAGAGGGTGTTCTGAGATCCAAGCCTTTCTTTCACTCTTATTTTTTTAAGAAAATTATACTTTCTTATCCTCATGATTTTTCTAATTGTTAAATATATGCTCAAATATACAGGGTCTGGCAGAAGTAATACCTGCTTAAGTGTGGTTGGTAGGGTAATCATATGGGTATAATAATTTATAGTTTTAATTTGAACTTTTCACCTAAAATGTCATATACTGTGCTTGAGTGTGATATCATGTTATAGAATGACATAGTTATGATTTTATAATAAAAGATTTTATAATAAAACAGGGGTGTTATTTTTGCCAGACCCTCTATATTTGAATGGGAATATATACTTAAGAGACACAGAAATGTATTATATGGTTAGAAAAGAAATTCCTTAAATTCCTTATGCAAATTCAAGTATTAAGATACTTCTAGAATTTGTCTACACATAGAGCAGTATCTATTGATACATATTCACAGAAATAAATGGCTAATGGCTAAATATATTCTTTATATATTAGACCATAATTTATATATACACCATAATTTAGATTTCTAACACTTTAGGTAAATTATCAACCTTATGTTTCCTCAAGCCAGCCAGGTTCAATGACTAGGATGCTATGCTAATTGCCTTTTTTGTGCAAAGCTTGTTATATTGTATAAAAGAATACCACCAAGCTGTGTTCCATTCTTTCAGATTAAATCTATTTCTGTAGCTGCTAGAGAGAGGGAAGGAAGGGGAATAAAAGAAAGGGAGAGATTCAGGTAGAAATAATGGTATACTTTACTCTATAAAATAGACTTCTCCATTTTCGGTATAGGCCATCTCCCAGTTTTCAGGTAGAGGACCTAAATTATCCTCTGCAGAAAGAGGTAGGTATTGTGGGAACTTCTGAGAAGGGTCCGTGATGGGAGCAGCGATGATGCTACTATTCACAGGTGGTAGTGTTGTTTCTTGGAGAGGGCGCTCTTCCTGATCACCAGAATCGGCTATTTCATCATGGGGAGAGAGAGGAAAAACAAATCATCAATCATATGCCAAACTGGGGCCTTAGCCCAAACACTGTGTGCATCTAAAAGCCCTCATCCTTTCCTACTTTCTGACCATTGACTATATTGTTTTATTTAGATAAGAGTTTTTAAATACAAAACATAAAAATGATGGACTAAATATATTTTACCTAAAAATAAAGAAGAGAAAAGCAAGTTTAAATAATGCATTGTTCACCATCTTGGACACATCAAAGAAGAAACACATCATGACTAAAAACAAACCCTTAAACTAAGAAGGTTATCAAAACACAGACTGAGATGCACTCTCATTCTGGAGGCATCATTTGGCTTCATGACTCAGAAGACTTTGAATGCAAGAATGAAGTCCATGATGAAAACACAGATTTGGTAGTATTACTGTCCATTTCATGTAAGTTATTGAAAACAGTTTTGGTTAGATAGTAGCAAAGATCAAAGACTTGCAAATCAAGCTGGAAAGCACATAAAAGTTTAGAAGTTAGAGACAGCTATACCAGTGAGTCACACTGAGTATATTTTGCAAAAGTGAGGAGAATGTTCCTATAAAAACCAAGATAGTTACCCCAGAACAGTATTTTGTGGGTGGATGGATTTAACTTGGGTTTTAAAAGAAGGCTCTGAGTCTGCTTGTCTTCTTATCACTAGAAACATCAAGAGGTGATGTCATCAAAGCATCCACAAACTGCGGCAATGTTGACATTCATGTTGAATTTTTTTAAAGGCTGATGATATTAAATGTCAGCCTCCAGGGGGTTGAAACATAAAATTAGAAATGGAGTTTCTTTCTATCTTCCCTAGCGATTATCCTGTAGACATTCTGATTTCCTGAATGCAGACTGAGGAATAATGAAGGGCTGTAACTGGAATCTTTCTCTGATCAGTAGCTCCCAATGACAAATATGAGAACAAAGGCAACAAAAGTTGGATGGAGGATGCCAAGCCTATGAAACAGCCACCACCACCAAAACCACAAAACCTTTGAGGAGGCTGTCTGTGGTCTTTCCTTACTCTGCATCTGTTCCCTTCTCTGGTACCACCACCCAGATCTCCCTTTAAAAATCATCCCCTCTACTCTAGATCCAGGCAGGAACTGCCTTAAATGCACTCCTAGCTTATGTGGTGGGCCCAAGTCATACTCCTATCACTCTTGCCTTTGTGACTGGACCAGGTACATGATCCAAGGCAAACCAATAAATGCCAGGCATGGAAGTTTTGCTCTTATCAAGGTGGCCTCTTGATGCCAAAGTTATTATGTTGATAGGTTCGTGTACTGTAGGTGCTAGTGACCCTCTTTACACAGCTTGTGAAGACCTGCCTGACACACAAGCCTACATAAAGAAAAGCAGAGATGAAGATACAGAAAATCACCTAATACCATGACCAAGCCTCTGATTTCATATCTGAAATCAAGGCTACCCACGATCCCCTAAATGCCCATTCCTACTTAAACTAATTTGAGTTGGTTTTATAATTTATATCCAGGAGTACAGATTCACAAAACAACTGTAAGTTTGAAGAAAAAAGAGAAATTAAGCCAAGAGAGAAGAAACATTTTGAAATTACTAATCAATACAAAATAAATTCATAACTTGGCAAAAATGAAAAGATTCATCCTTACTCTTCTAGAAGCCAACACATATTCATTGCTAGTGTATCTTTGGAAGGTATGTAAGAATCACCAGGAGAGACTGTTAACATGTAAGACCTCATTATGCTATTGTCACTCTATGCTCAAAGTGGTGGATTTCCACTTAAAGTGGTACAGAGTGCAAAATGCTCTGACACAGTTTGATATACATATCATTGACTGGGCAGTGTCAATTATTTGAAAGAATTTATGAATTAGTGTATAACAGGTTACTAGCTGTCATTGGTTGTAGTTTGGTAAGTGAGAGGGCATTCATTTAACATATTCCTTATGTCATAGGTGGCAAACACAAGGCCCACGGGCCGAATCTGGCCTTCCACCTTGTTTTATCCTGCCCAGTTCCTTGTTTCTACCTGGCGGCAGCGCCAAGCTGTAACTTAACTGTTAAGGAGTAGTTGCATTTATACAGTCCTAAAATTACATTTGGCCCTTTGACAGCAACTGTGAGGCTGATGTGGCCCCCGGTGAAAATGAGTTTGACACCCCTGCCTTACATCAACACATTCCTTACACACTGAGGATGTCCCACCACATGTATATATTGAGGCAGTTAGTTATCTGTGCATCCTATTGGTTTTCTTGTTGTAAAGACAGGCACCCCAAAAAGATCGCCAAGTGCCACTTTTTCGTGTAGAAACTAATGATCAGACTGACTTTAGCAAAGATGATCTGGGCCCAGAAGTTTTCCTTTGATGCCAGGATTTCAAGTGAAGATTTCATGGCAACAGATTTTTTGAGGCATGACATCTAGAGACACGAGATTTTACTTGTTAGAAATAGGAAAAGCATCAAGACCTATGTGCTTGGTCTATGTGCTTATTTGTCAACAACCCCTATGTGCTTTCTATCAAGAAATATGCCGCATAAATGAAGGACAAATAAAGACACATGCTTCTTGCGAGCCATTAAGCCAGCTTGGCCGAACTATTTCGCTGCACATTACTCCAAAGGTCTTCTGTTTCTGTACCCACATCTTTGTTTTGGGTTATATCATGATTTATGATTCTTATTTGTTGAAAGATTAAGACATTAAAATATTAGTTATTTTTAAAAGAAATATTGACTTTTTAAAATAATTTGATCTTGCATCAATGAGTGCTACTAACTATAAATGGATAAAATATTTATTTTTAAGTGGATGAAATCACCTGATTTTGATAGGCAAGTATAAAAGATGGCAAATTTCTTCTAGCTATTGTAACTATAGGTTAGCCAGCCACTGGCCTAACCAATTCTAATTGAGAAAATAAAAATTTTCATGGAATCAAATTCTTAGAGCTAGAAGAGAAGTACACAGACATGATTTAATCCTAGGTAGTCATTTCAGCAATAAGGGAAGTAGATACTATTATGTTTAGGAACCAAGCAGGGATACCAAACCAGGTTTCCTCCTTCTTTTTCTAATGCTTCTTGCAGGGGGCTTGGGTTACTGTTATAACAATGGAGCCATCAAAAAATGTTTTTGATTGTTATTACATGTTGAAGAATTTTAGGGTTTTGAGCTTGAAGAATGAGAAAACTTCAGAGAGGCCTATACAGGCTATAGAAAGCATTCAAATAACACAAACTTTCCCCTAAATATCCTATCAGACTTGATAGCACAAAGAAGAAAATGCAGAGCTTAAGCAATTTTCCTTTATTGGGGTTAAGTTTAACCAAATAATGACTGAATATGGTGAAGTCAGAAGAGGCCACTATGAGAGTGGAAGATTTCAAATACTGAAAATGGATACCTCCTTGAGAACTGTAGCCCTAAAATATTAAAGAAAATATTTAAGTATAAGAAAAATAGAAGAAACAATATATTTTTCTAAGTCATAAAACTGTAGAAACTCACATATCATGCAGTTGTTACATTTTGCGTTACTATATAAGTTCAAACCGCCACAGAGTGGAAAATATTTTCTATTATGGTCACTGCGACAACTCAGGGAACACATCATGCCTCTGTGAATGGTCCCTCCCGGAAATATGCAAGACCCAACCTATATAGTCTTACCCAGAGAGGCCTTTCCTTGAAGATCCTTCCATAAAATACACATACCTAAGTGTGGGGGTAGAGAGCCCTGAATATATATATACATAGATAATGCAATGAGTAATATATGCTATATAATATAGAATGCAAGTGCAAGGTATAATCAGCTATTTCTTATCTTCCACCTTATAGGGAATATAGCAAAATTTGCCTGTGTTAACAGAACAAGTGATATATTTCCACTGTATCTCTACTTCCAAAAGTATGACGTAAAAGGATGATGTTAGCCTTCCAGATGGCATCAATTGTTATTAAACTGTTAAACACATACTCATATGTCTTTTTGTAAGCAATCAGTCATAATTATGGTACAGTGTCAAGGCCAGGAAATAAATGAACAAAATACAGATATGCATATATATGTGCATATTTATATATATAATATATACATTATATATAATTTTGAAGAGACAGAAACAATATGATTATTCTCAATGCCCTTCCACAGATATTTCTCTTAGGCCCCTTTAAGATATTTGGGTGAGGTTAAAATAGTCTTGTGAAGAAGCTTGAAAAACAGACTGGAGAAAAGACTACCTCTTCCAACACTGTGTGGTCAGAGTTTGAATTTTGGTGACCCCTCCAAATTCCTCTTCAGGAAATAATAATTCTTTGCGAAAAGCCTCCCACTGCCCACTTTCCCCAAGTCCACTGATGCGAGTGTCATCTGGCTTTACCTGTAAAGCTACTGTTCATTTCAGGAATGTCATCCTCCTCTTCATTCTCCGCATGGACTATGCCAGCATTTTGCATATCATTGTAGGACTTGGTTCGCTTTGGGGTTGATTGCTTGGAGCCAGACTGAAGGCTTTGCAAGGCATCCGTTGTGATCACTTTCCCACTGACTGGCTGGCTAGGAGGTTTGGGTGTCCCATAATAGTTTCCTAGGTGATGGAAAGACACATTTGCATGTTTCAGAAAGAATACATTGTTTTTTTCAAGACTTTACATCCAAATCTCTTGGCACATTTAGAAAATATGTATTTAAACTGAAAAAGCCAATAAACTGTATTTCATTTTTGAAATGGGTTGGAAAAGATGTCGATCCCACCCAGCCAGACAAGATGATTTCAGAAGCTAGAAGGAAAGCTGCCTTGTTTTCATGCAAAGAACTCACTAGGGCTCAAAACAAAGGAGGCTGCACTATATTGAATAGCACACTTTACCCTCATTACATTTGAATTATGTTGACCACCTTTTTACATACATATGCACTAGCCAAAAGCTGAATCCCATTCAGAATGAGCTTCACAGAAAATAAAAAATTCAATACTGCCTGCACCCTTACAGGCCAACCAAGTAGAGGTCCTTCCCTTAATAAGGGGGCTCCTCAAAAGGGAACCAGGGCAATATTTAAAAAGGACAGTGACCACCACGTGGCACCTCAGAATGGCAGGCTTGACTCTCAGGGCCATTCAACCTTGCCAAGTTTTAACAGAAAACTGTGTCAACAGTGGCACTCCTTACAGGACACTCTTTTAGTAATTACCCATCTTCTTTCAGCCAGTTTTTTCCAGACATTGGTTCAGGTCTAAACAGAATGTGCTTCTGAGTAGTACATGGAAAGATTTCTGCACTTTAATAAGAGTGTATATTAACATGTACTAGAAAAAAACTAACTAGTAAATTATGGTAGTAAAATAAAGTTCACTTATAAAAGTTAAGGGGAAAACAGTATTTTTAAAAATTGAGTTTTTTAACTTAAAGTTTAAAAAAGTAATTATATGGAATAAGAAACTAATCACCCACGTAAAACACAGCAATGATTGTGAGGCACTTCCTTTTGAAAATTTAAGTTAGAAAGTAAGTTTTTCAAAAGAAAACTTTAATAACAGACATTATGTTCAGATATGGACAAAATCATGAAGGTGGCTAAAGTTTGAAAAATACAGCTTATAATCAATAAATTCCCTGACTAGATGATAAAAAACATCAACATTAGAATGCCATTGATTCATTCACCATCTCACATCTTTTAGAATAAGCCCAGGAAGAGAAATCACATTCAGCCCTTCATTAACTCCTAAACCAGTGTTGTTATTCTGTGCTTAGTAAAGTAGAATTGTAACTGGTGGACAGTTGGTCAGAGACCAGGTAGTCTCCCTGCAGCCAACATGGTGGTAGGGGAAGGTTCTTACACTGAGCCTGGGAAAAGTCCTTCCTCCCTGCCCCACCCAGGGCCAGACTGGAGGCAGGACCAGAGGAAGGCAGGCACATGCACCATGGAAGTCAAAATAGCAGTAGGGGGAGGTGCTACACCAAAAAGGCCTGTCAGTCTAGCCTGGAGAAAGAAGGAATTGGATGGGAGGTGAACCCACCCTAAGCATATGAAAGTATGGGAAGTTGATTGGTCATTTGAGAGAGTACCTGGTCCATCCCACACCTAAGTTAATATAATCCCAGAAAAAGAAACACTCTCTTGCTCATCACTCTTACTTGGGATCTGGACTTGCACAGCAAGACTTGTCCTTTCTCTCCATGGGCCACATGGCCCAGGGCCTCCGGGAGAGAACCTCTCTTTCTTTCCCTCTTGCCCACCTGGGACACACTAGCCTGTGTGTTTGTGTGACCTTGTGGCCTTGGCAGCCCAATTGCCCATGGCCACGAAAGCTACACATGAAGCCTCCAGGAGGGAGCCAGAAATGAAAAGCAGCTGGGAACAAGCTAAGCTACCTTTAACAGCTGCCTGCAGGCTCTACAGGACTGGACTCTAAATTGAAGCAGGAACTCTGGACATTGGATTTTGTCTTGGTTTTGCGGAGGAAATGAGCTATGAGACAAGTGCCCATCATTCTCCCAGATCATGATACCTGAGTAAAACCTCTTTACTCTTTCACCAGTATCTGCTTCATGAATTTGGCTTTTGATGGTGGCAGGCAGCTGAACCTCCCTTTTTTTTAGTAACAGAATTTGTAAATCACAAGAAATCCTGTACATGCTTTTTTTTTTCCTCACGGATCTCTTCCCATTGTCTAACTTCTGTTAATAACATAAAACATACATCTAAAAAACACACATTTTATTATACAAGCATGAAGGGTAAGAAGACAGTGACATATTGCTCTTCATAATACACAAGTGATGAAGAATTTGCTCCCATCGAGCCGAATCTTTATAATTAAAAAGTTTAATTAGTATTATTTCTCTAAAATATTTTTGAATCACTAAATTCATGGATATATACAACTACTTTCTTTGACAGAGGTGTAATACTCATCAGTAGAGGAATGCTAAACACTTAAATTAGAAGTGCAGTACAGTAAAGAGCACCATATTTGAATTTGAAGGGTACCAGACAAACCTCATACACACATTCTGGTGAACCATACTCAGGCACTGCAGTTCTTTCACAAAAGGTGATAGATGTATCAATCTCTTAAATTTCTTTCAGGCTTCCAACTCAAAAGGTACAGGGGCTAAGCAGAACTAGCTAGAAGAATGGCACCTGATGTGTATTTTTAGGAGCTAATGGATATGTGCAAGGAAGAAGGCACACATACGTGAACCAAGACTCAGCTTGCACTTCTACAGAGGTTACATTGGAGGACGTCCCAGGCCTTTTCCATTAACAGGAGACCTTTAGTGAGGTTTAGGAAAGTAAAGCAGCTATTTTTTAAAAAATCTTTACAGTGAACAAAAAATAGAAACAAAACTTTACTGCATTTAATTCTAATTCCTTCCCATTACACTAAAACATCATGCATATTTTTGATAAACAGGTTAAACTAAGGTGAAATCTATAAATAAGAGCCTTCCACTAAAAGATGTGACTAAAAGTTGGGTCCCTTAATTCATAATTTTATAATTATAACTTTACAATCATACCAATTTTCAGTGGCATTAAACTGAAGTAACACTCACAAAGATATTGTCATTTAAGTATCAATTAAAACTTAGAAACTCTCAGCTTATGACAGAAATAAATGTTTGGAAAATAAAAGGTGTACCTAAATCTAACAAATAAATGTGGATTTTCCTCAGTTTTCAAGTTCAGGGTCTTTCTTAAGTTAATAAATGATTAGATGATTTCTGAACACAGCTAAAAACACAAAAACACCCCCAAACAATCTACCTGTTCATAGTTTTTCCTGTTTCTGGAAATTAGTTTAAGATTGATTGGAGACAGACAAGGTGCATTTCATTAAGTTGAACCATATGAAATTGCTGTTGCAGAAGACAAGCTGTCAACAGCAGCAGTTTCATGTGGGTGAACCTAATGAAGGGGCCTTTGCAGTACTCAAACTACTACCACTATAGCGGTAGTTCAAACTCCAGCCTCACTGCCTGCACATTGGGCAAGACAGTTCACCATTCTGGGAAAAATCATGTTCTCTTCTGTAAAATTGGGATTCTAAGAGTACCTAGGTTAGACCTAGAATATCTGTTATGGGGATACAGTGAGATAGTCCATTTGAAGCCTTTAGCCCATGCTACAGCCACTAGGTTAAGGCTTGATAAAAGTTTATTAATGCTGATGGTGTAGGTTTCTAATTTTTAAAATGAAGCTTGTTACACCTGTTGGGAGGATTAATGAGACAATGTGTCTCAAGTGCCTGTCACCTGGGAGGCAAGTATTTTTCCTTGATATAAAGGAATAAGCGAGAGAATCTACCAATAACCAAATAACTTTGGGCAAGTTTTTCATACTCAATCTAATACTTTCTCTGTGAAATGGGAAATTTCTCTCTGAAACAACACCAGCCCTAGCAACCTCACAGCATTATTATAAAGATCAAATAATATAACTTTCTTGAAGGTATCCCGTAAACTATAAGCTGTGGCAAACAGGAGATGGTGCTGTCATTCAAATTGCTCTAGCATTTCTCACTTTCCATATCACTACAACCTTTATAGAAAGGCTTCTACTTAGTGGTTTCTAATTGCAAAGTGTTCGACTTTCCTTTGCAGATGTGAATTTTCATATTTAAAAATATAATTATGAATTAGTGACTAAATTTATTATAAAAACTGAATGTTTCAGATTATGCAGTCCCCCCAAATTTGCCAGTTACCAGAGGTCTCCACTACCTCAGCCACCCTATTCCACTCTACTCACTCTCTCACTCTACCTGCCAAATCCCCATGCCTGCCCCCTTCCCCAGAATTTGAATTCACATCTCCTCCCTTCCACAAAACTCTCTACCTCATCAATACTTTGCAGTCTGGTCATAAATAATCAGGCCAAGCCCAGCCACAGCAGAAACACAATTTTTACAGAGTATGCACAAGAGACTCACTGTGAAGAATACATGGATCACTTAATGGTATTAAATAAAAATCATGTGAAGAATTATAAATGATTAAAAAATTAATTTGGTTCATCACTTGGCAGGCTGCACAGTTTCTAGGAGACATGAGCTGGACTCCCCCTACTCTCCACGTCAGCCAACATGCACCTCCGGAGGTGACCGGGCTCTCTCCCAAGTGGGAATGTGTGTGTCTCTCTTGCTATTTTCAGAACTGGCTCTATAATAAAACTCAACATGGATGGCAGCTGGACAGAGGGGAAGGGCAGGGCACATTGTATGGGAAGCCACTGCTGGTCTTAATTAACAGGCAGAAACTTTGGATACCACCAAGCCAAAGAAAACATTTTCTGATATGCACTTAAAAATTAATGGGGGCTGCAAATCAATTCTTAGAGCTTGATAAAATATTTAAGGAGAACTGTACCCTGAGTTTTAAGTGAGACTGAATTAAATCTATACCACCTCTCACTTTGTACAAATTTAGTATTCACTCATTTATTTCCTTACAGAGAAGCTTTTTGTGCCAGACACTATGCTAGGCACCACCAATAAAATGCAAAAATGGGACTAAAACACTATCTTCACAATTGTTCTGCATGGTATATATCGGTGTTCTTAAACTTTGTGCAAATAAT